AAACCCTTAGGCTTAGACGCTTAGTCATACTCCGTATAAAATTATAAACTATAGAGTAGAGACGGCCGACCTCCATACTACCTACACATTTCGGTCTACGCGGAAGAAAGGAAGTGAAGGAAACGAACGCATACCAAATCGAAGGAAGATTGAACTGCAATCTACTACGAGGTTAACCTTCTTCCGATTTTTACCCATTATCTATAAAATTGCATATCACTTTCGCTTTCAGTTCCTTTTCTTTTAGGTTTGGCTTTTGATCGTTGTCGAACGCTCGAACCTGTTCCTGAGTCAATTTAGAATTTGAGGCAATACAGTCCCTTGATTTCTTGCTGGGAAACTTGGCGGAATCGACTACCTCCGCCTATTTGCATCCTATTTGCATTGAACTGAAGTAGGCGGAGGTAGTCGATTTATGCGATTTATGAGGACTTTTTTTCTCTTTGACCGGTTGGTTTGTCTTAATTTTGGTTTGGAATTGGATTCAATTTATGCGAACTTTTTCTCTCCATTCAATTATAAATATCTTACGAATATTGTTCTTGATTTACTCTAGTTTTTAATATTTCTTAGCATGGTTGACGCTCTCTGTTTATGTTCTCCTCCGGATGCTCATTTAGAAGAATCTTACAATTGAGAAATAAGAGATGGACACTAGTCGGAAAACAGTTTGTTAAGGCACTTATATATATATATATATATATATATATATATATATATATGATTTAGTATGGTGATTAATTGGGCAGTATTTGGTTTGCACTTTATTTCTTTTGCAATATATATTTTATTTTCAATTGGGTGAGTGATCTGTTTTTATTGCTTTTCTTTTATCCATCCTTATAAAAATTCATGCATACTGAAACATTTTTCCCAATTTACCCATACACTATTTATTAATAATAATTATTATCATATCATTTTACTACTACTAATAATAAGTTCTTGTTTGATCTTAAGTTCTCACTTGATTAGGTTAGGCTTGGAGCGATCCGTTTAAATCTTGATGAACAGTGATATTTATAGGTCTTGGATTATAGAAATTCTTTAGTTTTTGATTTGCTGGAAGCACATCATAATTTGGATAACTGTGAAATAACTTCAGTTCTCATGGGACTAGAGGTATTATTGAGTTGACTCTTTGTTTAGAGTTTGTAAATTAAATAAATGACACTAATTTTAAAGTCAATTACATACATGTTCTTTTTCACTTTCAGGATTTTCTTTTGGTTTGCTACCTTTGAGCTTCTGATACTGCTGCCACCATCATGTGCTTTTTGTCATTGTGCATATCGTGTTACCATCTAGAGTGTAAGCTTTGTCCTTAACGATCATTTTATTTTGATGTTTATGTTATTCTATGGTTGAGGAAATGGACTTTGCATCTTTGGCTTCATTATTTGTGTTTTTCAGTATTTATCTACAAGCTGCTAATTGTAACAGGTCCAAGATTCAATGTTATTACGTAGTAGTATATTTTGGAATTTGGACTCGGGTCTCTTAAATGAGATTATATAATATTTTCTTTAATAGATTTTACGTGGCCTGCAGACTATATGGGATATGGTCAATAATAGAAAAATTAAAAATAAATTTAATTATTAAGTCTCGAAAATAAATAGATTTTCCAGACTAAATAGAATTTCTTCAACATTTTTTAATTCTATATTATTTTCTTTACATGTTTTGCAGGGTCGAGAAACAAATGAATCAAATCTCCCTTCAAATTTAACTGAAAGCATGATAGTGACAATGACTCTGATGAATTATAACCAAGGTTCAATGATTTTGAGACAACGTTCAGATGACTAGTAAAAGGAACTACTTTCAAGTAAGTGTTTGTCTTTATATTTATTAATTTAACCTTGGTTATATAAAAATACAGCTCCAGAAGCATCTCAACCCACTGAAGTAGTGAAGCAACCTGGTAACTTAAGCACTTCATACTGAGAAATGGTATATCTTGCATGAACTAACGTTTAACATTTCCTCACCTACTTTTGCCAATTTTATAAATTTAAGGTCAGGAGAAAGCTTGCACACCTGAATTACATTATGTGAATCTCACAGTGACATAAAATGTGAGCATGAGTTCTGAATTAAGGTTTGTAGAAATGCTAGAAATGCAAGCTGCTATTTACTTCTTATCCAGTTATCCTAAAATTGTACCTTTACTTTTCTTGTTTTTTATAGAATAAAGCTAGCTCTGAAGAATGTTTGGGTTGGAGAGTGCTGCTAGACATATTGAGGCCAGCCATCTCTTTTATTGGCATTAAAACGTGGTCAAGCATCTTCAGAATTAGAATCTAAGTATGTGAGTATTTTTAATTTCTGAGTGTGAGTATGCGAGGTATCTATTTTAAATATTTTGACAATATACATTAACGAGTTATCATATTCCTTTCTTATTTTAACAGAAAAACAATGCATCTATGAAGAGATAATTCAATGTTCCGGTCATTCAATCGCAGCTCACCTGTTAGTAGTCGAGGGCAGTAATCTAATGGCTATGGAGTCTCTTCACTCCTGAATTTGATGAGTTGCTTTCACACAAGGCATAATATACATTTTTAGTATGGTACTTGTTTAGGCTAATATTCCAAGAAAGATTTTATTGCAATGTTTGGCTTTCTGGAAAGCGAATATGAGATGTTGAAGATTGATTTCTAATGCATTGTCTTATGTATTATGGATATTATTGGCATTAATGTTGAAATTTATATTGTATGTATATCAGATTTCTATTATTCTATAAGAAAAGCTAGCAATAATAAAAGAAAAAAAATAAATGATAAATTAATATTAACCAAGCAATTTTTACCAATATATAAATGTGAATTACATTTTTACCTACACAAACAAACGTTTCACCCACATTTATATCGAGTATTTACCTACACATACAATTAAATTTAGCCACATAACCATTTCCACGTGGGAAATTGTATACCACAAACAAATTTTGCCACATCAGCACCACGTAATATGCCATGACACGTCATCGCTGTCATTTTTTAAAGACAAATAGCTACACATACGATAAGTTTTTGTCCACTCACGAATGTGTAGGTAAATGATATATAATTACCCACACATAGTTCATGTGTTGGTAATAACTTTTACCTACTTCCATATACCCACACATCATTACACTTAATATATGTGTGGGTAAAAATTATTGCCTACACATAATTAAACTTTCACCTACACATCCGTGTATGGGTAAAACCTACATTTTCTTGTAGTGAACGTCTCATATTTTGTGATGGGCAAGTATGATATAACATAGCGCTTTGAGTCTTTGACTATTATTACATTAGTGGTTTAGCTGAGCTTTGAATTGTGAGCATGCTACTGAAATTGAATCAAGTGAGTGTGCATCACCAAAACTTCAATACAATTTACCTAACATCTCCACACTCACAACATATAATATCAGAAATTACAAAATATACCTTTTCCCACATTGCAGCTGAGCACTTTTTATTATGACAATAATAACAAATGGCCCTTGTAAGCTTTTATGCTTGATCCAATACAAGCAAGGACACTGGAAACAAGCATTGCTACTACTAAAGTACTAAGAGAATCCTACCAAAGTGAAAGTTGAGCTAAAGCATAAGCTTGGTCACTTGACTAAGTGACTAACCATTTGATTCATAAACAAACTCAGGCTTATTTCTCCGTGTAAAAACAGGGCCCATAAATTCACAATAGAGCTTCAGTGAACAACATATATTTCAGTCCCCACTCCCTTGTCATGTTATTCCAAAAAAGTTTTAATCCTATAAAATAAAAATTAGGCAACTTGCAACCATCCAATAATTCAAAATTCCTTATCCAAGCTAATACCCTGCTTTCCAAATACTTGCACAATCACATATAGTACCAAGATATGAAATAAACAACTCACTGAGCAAAGCAACTACTCTAGTCATTGCATCTTTAGCCCATCAACCCTGAACATATATGTGAAACTCCCAATCATTTTAAGTTCCTATGTGTGAATTTTACTTTTATGCTTGATTTGAGGGTTAAAGAACATGGTCATCTTATAAGAATTTCATTCGCGAATTCCATTGTTAGACCAGAAAAAAGCTTGCAAAGAGGAATATAAAATGAATCTTATAAACATTCTTACGCTTTTGAGGGCGGTTCAGACTGGATATGTATATGTGGATACTACTTCATGTTCCCGAAAGATGGAACTTTGTGAGCGTTAAGTTACAGGGGAAAATGGGAATAATAAGAGCATCTTCGATGCTATCTTCAACCCTATAATGTGCACGCGTGGCATGTGAGAGATACACACAAAATATTGATTTTATAACATTTCTCTCTCCTTCTTTTCAGGTCTCATGTGTTTTGGTAAGTTTTTCTATGCAATGTCAACCACAATGTCTACATCTAGACATTGTGCTTGACACTGTGAAGAAAAAACTTACCAAAATGATGTAAGATCCTTCATATAAGGAGAAATATTCTATTTATTGTTTTTTAATTGATTATTTCTCATGACACATATGCACCGTTAACGTTTTAGCATTGAAGATGCTCTAAGAAAGCCATGGAAAATGTGTCCGTATTTAGTAAAAAAATGAGTGTAAATAGAATTTCCTTATCAAATTTCAAAAATACTTTTGATACACAATTTTTTGTGTACACACTATCTGGGTAAGCATTTTTTGTGTACAGATAAAACGCATTTTGAAGAAAACAGACAAATGTGTGTGCGACAAAAACATGTGTAGCCCAAATCCAACTCATCAAATTTTAATGGTGGGCATTTCCTCTAGTTTGGAATTTAGGCTTCCATGAAAATCCTAAGCCGGCAACCCAAATCCAGCATTGGAATAGGGCAGCGACGAATACAACATTTGAAAACCCTTAACCGACTTACTAATTTACCATTAATTAATTAATTAATTACGGATGCTTGGAGGCCAAGAACGAATTGAACCAGTTGCCTTATAAAGCTGCCACCTTCGATCATTCTCCGTCCAGTTTCTCATCAAACTTGGAAACCAATTAAGAACCTTCTACGGCGATGGCACCTTCACTTCTTGGACCACCAGAGCTCGGAAACGCCGCCCCACCGTCACCGCCTAAAACCCAACCTGCACCATCATCGGCGGCAGGCGATCCTTTCGTAGATCTCATGGTCTCCGATTTCAACAAAATCGGCATGCGGCATTCCCCGCCAATGGGCTTCACTGAGAACATGTCGGCGACCTACCTCTCCTCCGGCAACCCTTGCCTCGATTTCTTCTTCCACGTCGTCCCCAACACCCCGCCCGAGTCCCTCCAGCAGCGCCTGCTCTCAGCCTGGTCTCACGATCCTTTGACCGCCCTCAAACTCATCTTTAATCTCAGAGGCGTCCGCGGCACCGGCAAGTCCGATAAGGAGGGTTTTTACTCGGCGGCGCTCTGGCTTCACGGTCACCACCCCAAAACCCTGGCACGCAACATCTCTCACTTGGCTGACTTCGGTTACATCAAGGACATGCCGGAGATTCTCTTCCGTCTTCTCGAAGGCGGCAATGTGAGGTCTAGCCAGAAGGACGAATGGAGTCGGAGGAAGTCGCAGGCTCGGCGTTCCAAAATGAAACCGGAGACAGTAAAAAAGAAGTCGGGAGGCGTGAAGAAAATCAAGTACATGGTGCCCTCTCTGCCCAAAGCGCAAAGAAAGCTGGATATGGCGAAGAAGGTCATCCAGCGATACAACACCGACTCAGATTTCCGAAATTTATACGACCGGGTCTCTGATTTCTTCGGAGAAGCTCTCACGGCCGATCTGGGTTACTTGAAGTCCGGCGAGATGAACAAAATCAGCCTCGCCGCTAAATGGTGCCCTTCCATCGACTCTTCCTTCGATCGGTCCACACTCTTGTGTGAAAGCATCGCACAGAAAGTGTTCCCCAGAATGTCTCATCCAGAATACGAAGGAGTAGAAGACGCCCATTATATCTACAGAGTTCGTGACCGGTTGAGGAAGGAGGTTCTGGTGCCTCTAAGAAAGGTTCTAGAATTGCCCGAAGTCTACATCGGCGCTAACCGTTGGGATTCCATCCCCTACAACAGAGTGGCGTCTGTGGCCATGAATTTCTACAAGGACAAGTTTCTCAAACACGATAGTGAGCGGTTCCACAGTTATTTGGAGTCTGTAAAATCCGGCGATGCGAAGATTGCGGCAGGTGCTCTCTTGCCCCACGAGATAGTTCAGTCCTTGCGGGATGAAGCTGACGGAGGGGAAGTAGCAGAGCTACAGTGGAAGAGGATGGTGGATGATCTTCTCCAGAGAGGGAAGCTGAGGAACTGCATGGCTATTTGCGATGTGTCTGGTTCCATGTCTGGAACTCCAATGGAGGTTTCCGTTGCTCTAGGCGTTCTGGTTTCAGAGTTGAGCGAGGAACCATGGAAGGGGAAGGTGATCACTTTCAGCCAAAATCCGACCCTCCAGACAATCTGCGGTGATTCTCTCCTGGAAAAGACGAAATTCGTGAGGGAGATGGAATGGGGGATGAACACCAACTTCCAAAAGGTGTTTGATCATATCCTGGAGGTGGCCGTGAAGGGGAAATTGAAGGAGGAGCAGATGATCAAGAAGCTTTTTGTATTCAGTGATATGGAGTTCGACGAAGCTGCATCCTCAAACCACCACAGGTATGGAACTTATGAACACGGAAGTAAATCATGGGAGACGGATTACCAGGTGATAGTGAGGAAATTTACAGAAAAGGGTTACGGGAATGCAATCCCGCAGATTGTGTTTTGGAATCTCAGGGACTCTAAAGCCACGCCTGTTCCGGGGAGTCAACAGGGAGTGGCGCTCGTGAGTGGGTTTTCCAAGAATCTGTTGAAGCTCTTCTTTGAGGGGGATGGTGATATCAACCCGGAGCAAGTCATGGAGGCGGCCATCTCTGGCGAAGAGTATCAGAAGCTGGTCATCATGGACTAAATCAACCATCTGGCCGTTGTGCAGGAAGCTAGTTTTATTTTCCCTTTTTTAGATTAATAATCTATTACTTTGTACAATACTTGGTAATAATAATTGCATTGCATCTGTTTTGTCTATTTAGCAACAATGAAAGTAAAAAATTATTTAGAAAGGGCAGGCCATATATTGCCATTTGAGCAACCAAGGTACGTGCTTGTAATTTAGAAAATTTGTAGCTGACCATGACTCTGGTTTGCAGCAGCACCTCTGCGTAACTTTGATAGTATGAATCAGAAGATTTAGCTAGACTATAATGACATAAATATCTCATAAAATGTTCAGTTATGGGATGATCTTTTATAGAGTGGTAGATAGTTTTTATTCTTTGAAAAGGACTGGTATTATTTGCATCATCCAACTTTTATAAATGGATGCAAGTTTGTAGCAGTCCAAAAAAAGAATCCTGGAACAAAGTTCATCATACTTGACATTAGGCAATTTAATCTGTAGTGATGACCATAAAGTGCCAGAAATATAACTTTCCTGATAGAAATGCACCAAATGATTATTACAAAAATGCTTGAATATGAAGTCTGCACCATAAATAGATTTTGAATAGGAAAAAATTAGGACCACTTGAAGAATTTATAACTAATGATTAGAAGTAAAAATAGCTTAGGACCACTTGAAGAGCCAATATACTGTGAACCGAACTTGAGTGAACCAAAAGTATTTAATCAAAGATATCAACTTCAACTGCATTTTTAATAAACATAACTCTATTGTCGAAGTGCAGGTGCAATGACAATGAGAAGCCCCCTTTAGCGAAGCATTTCTATAGCTGATTTTAATATTAATCTATATGTGGTATTATTAGATCAAGATGTATTGCATATTTAAAACCCAATAGGTAACACATTCTTTCATTGATCTATATATGGTGGGTGATTTGAGTTTAACGAGAATGAGTCAGGAGACATTACATCCTAGAGATCTGGAGGGGAACTGCAGTTTCAAGAGCATCTTCTCTGAGGGAGACAAGTTGCATCAATTCAAGACTCCCAAGTCTCTTTTTGACTATATGTCGGCGACAGTTATCCACAGCCATGACTCCAGCTGAATAGGCACCATGAACAGATCCTTGATGGTCAATACTAACCACTTCACCTCCAAAGAAAAGATTACCCAAGGGAGCTCGAATCCGGGTCCGTATCCCAGCGTGAAAACAGATACTGAACAGGTTCACTTGCATTTGGAAACATCTTCTTCAGGTGCAACATTGCAAAATCTGCAGCAGCCTTATCCGGGAGCTTCTCAAGGTCATTAGCTAAGCTTCCAGCAGCCATATAGACAAGGACTGGATGACCAGTTGCCTTGTGAAGATTCAGAAAATAACCACAGGCATAAGAAGTTGGTGCAACTATGCCTATGAATTCAAAATTTGGCCAGAAGACATTGTCGAACTGCAGTGCGATCTTGTTTTCATTATCCATACCAAGATCCCCGTATGGCAGATACCTTCCATTCAGGCAGTTTTGGTTCAAATTCGATCAAATCTGCTTTGAGAAACCCGAGGGGTACAGTTATTATATAGCCTTTATCTGCTGTGAAATGTCTCCCACCCTCAACTGACACCATTACGTTGTTATACCCATTTACAATCCCTAAAACCCTGTGGTTCAAACGTATGTCGATATCTTTAGCCAAAGCCTGTATTACAAAGTAATAACCCTGCACCATTAGTCCATGATCACTGCAGGCTGCAGCTAACCATGCTTCCATTCTGCATATGTACCACTGCAGCACTTCGTGGGCAAGTCCATCTTGCCTCAGTTCTGGATATCTATCCAGTACTATTGATATTGCATGCTGCCATGTTGCACTGACATGTCTTGACTATGTTCTGTTAGTAATAATTCAAAAGTTTGTTAGTCAGTTTGTTAATCAGATCAGTTAGTTAGTATCTCTATTACATATACTTGTATCCCTTCTACAGTTTTTTTGCTTCATACGGAATAATACAGAACTCCCTTCTCCATTTTGTTATTCATTCATCTTACTAATTCTCTGTAATTAGTCATCTTCCCCAACAAACTGGTATCAGAGCGCAGAAGATCGAAGGGAAGAAGTTGTGAAATTAAGATGAACAGCGTTGTATTTCCTGCAACACTTCCAATTCTTGACAGAAAGAATTGGAGGAGATGGCATATTCAGATGAAGGCCATCCTGGGATTCCAAGAACTTACCGAGATCGTGGAGAATGGATTTCCATATCTCTCTGAAGGAGCTACCGATGCTCAGAGGCAAATTCACAGAGAAAACAAGAAAAAAGATTACAAGGCTATGTATCTTCTTCATCAGTGCGTAGATGAGACGCATTTTGAGAAGATCTCCTATGCGAATACCTCTCAAGAAGCATGGCAGACTCTCGAGTTATGTTATACAGGAAGATCAGCTGAAGAAGGTCTGATTGCAGACCTTGAGAAGGCAGTACGAGTTGATGCAGATGGAAACAAACAAGAGAATTCCAGCATACTTCAATCGAATTACCACAATTACAAATGTTATGAAGAGATGTGGTGAGAAGATTACAGAGCAAACCATTGTTGAGAAAATTTTGCGAACCCTAACCCCTAATTTCGATCACATTGTTGTGGCGATCGAAGAATCCAAGAAACTTGAAGACTTAAAAGTTGAAAAACTTTCAGGTACCCTTGAGGCACATGAGCAGAGGCTCATTGAGAGATCAACAGATAGGTCTGTTGATCAAGCCCTCCATGTTCAGACCACTGGCAGAGGTGGTTACAGGGGAAGAGGGGGTTACAGAGGCCGACGAAGAGGAAGGGGTTCCAAGGGGAAGGACAAGAACTCTCAGCAACAAGGTTCAGATAAAGAAGAAAAAGATTAGTCTGAAAGCTCTTCTTGAAAGGGTGGTTTTCAGAAGTGGAAAGGAGGAAAGAAGAAAGTAGATAGAACCAAGATTAAGTGCTTCAATTGTAACAAGATTGGACACTTTTCCAATGAATGTCAGGCCCTTTCTAATCAGTACAATCAGAAGTCAGATGAGGCACATTTGGCAAAAGAAGAAAGTGTAGAAAGGGTGGAAGATGATCCAGTCCTGCTTCTTATGACTACACACCAAGAACAAGGGTCACATGTTGACAAAATCTGGTATGTTGATTCTGGTTGTTCTAATCATATGACAGGTCATAGAGATTGGCTTGTTAATTTTGATTCAAGCAAGAAGAGTAGAGTTAGATTTGGTGATAATAGAGTTATTGTGTCTGAAGGAACTAGGGATGTTATTGTGAAGAGGAAAGATGGTAGAAATGCCATGATTACTGATGTTATTTTTGTGCCTGGTATGAAGAGTAATTTGATCAGTTTAGGTCAGTTGCTAGAGAAGGGATTTACTGTGAATATGCATAGCCGGCAGTTGAATCTGATTGCTGGTTTGAACAGAAAGGTCTTACCTGCTCCTCTTTCACAAAATAAAACTTTCAAAGTTGACTTGAATGTTATTAAAACTCAATGTTTTAGTGTTGAACTTCTGGATGATGATAGTTGGTTGTGTCAGAGATCTTAATCTCATGAAAGCTAAGGAAATGGTCTTAGGCTTGCCCTCAATTAATGTTCCAAAGAAGATCTGTGATAGCTGTGTGATCAGCAAACAGCCCAGATCTGCATTTGGTAGTTTTGTTGCATCTAGAGCTGATAGCTTACTGCATGTTGTGTATTCAGATGTATGTGGATCCATGGAGGTTCCTACTTTGGGTGGGAATAGGTACTTTGTTACCTTTGTTGATGAGTTGAGTAGAAAACTTTGGCTTTACTAGATTAAGGCTAAAAGTGATGTTTTTGATGTTTTCAAAACATTTAAGTGCTTGGTTGAGAAGCAATCTGGCAGCTACATCAGAATACTCAGAACAGATGGTGGGGGAGAATACTCTTCCAGGGAGTTTGGAAGTTTTTGCCAAGATAATGGCATTGTGCATGAGGTCACAACACCTTACACTCCACATCATAATGGAATTGTTGAGAGGAGAAATAGAACAGTTCTGAATATGGTCAGAAGCATGCTAAAGAGTAAAGGGTTTCCATAAAGCCTATGGCGAGAAGCTGCAACCACAACAGCCTATATTCTGAATCATTGCCCTACCAAGAAGCTAGAATTCAAGGTTCCTGAGGAAGTCTGGTCAGGCAGGAAACCTTCTATTAAGCATTTTAGAATCTTTGGTTCTCTCTGCTATAAACATATACCTGAGCAAAGGAGAAGAAAACTTGATGACAAGAGTGAGTCCATGGTGTTTATAGGATATCATCCAACTGGCGCCTATAAATGGCTGGATCCAAGGACTAATCAAGTACATTATAGCAGAGATGTTTATTTTGTAGAGTCAAGTTGTTGGAAGAAAGAAACTCAGCAATCAGAGTCATTCGTAACACTTCCACTTGACTCAGAGGTTGGTGAGGCAGATAAAACCATTACTCACCCTGTAAGTAATGAGTTTGACAGACCTAGAAGAGCAAGCAATTGTCCACCTAGACTGAATGATTATCTGTTGATACCTGATAATGCTATCAGTGATGATGGAGAGCTGGTACAACACATAGCATTATTTGCAGATATGCAGCCAGTTGATCTCCATGAAGCATTAGACAGTGAGGTGTGGAAAAAGGCTATGGATGAGGAGTTGAAGTCTATCAATAAGAACAATACCTGGGAGTTAGTTGACCTCCAGCTAATAAGTCACCTGTTGCAGTGAGATGGGTATTCAAGACAAAACTCAATCCGGATGGTACCATTTGCAAGCGTAAGGCAAGATCGGTAGCTAAAGGGTTTATGCATAAAGAAGGAGTTGATTTCACTGAAGTATTTGCTCCAGTTGCTAGGTTTGAAACAATTAGATTAATTGTTGCTCTAGCTACTGTGAAGAACTGGGAATTGAGACAGCTTGATGTCAAATCAACTTTTCTCAGTGGACCCCTTGAAAAAGAGGTGTATGTCTGTCAACCTCTAGGATATGTCTTGAAAGGAAGTGAAAATAAAGTTTATAAACTGAAGAAGGCCTTATATGGGTTAAGGCAGGCACCAAGAGCTTGGAACAAACGGATTCACACATTTCTATCAAACCTTGGGTTTAAGAAGTGTGATGTTGAGCATGGTGTCTATGTGAAGGTAATGAGAAGTGGAGATATTCTCATAATCTGTTTGTATGTCGATGATTTATTAATAACAGGTAGTTGTGCTACCGGAATTGAGGATATTAAGACAAAGCTCAAATCTGAGTTTGGGATGTAAGGCAT